CTTGGATTGGATGCCTTTATTTCTTTCAACTTCCGACTTTCAACAAAGAAAAGTTGCTTTACCAACTTTTGTTCAAAACAAAGTTGGTACTTTTAAGACAAGTTGGCAGACAATGTTGTTCCAAACTTCTCACCAAAAACAAAAAAGTTGTTCAAAACAAACTTGTCTAGCGGATAGAAATATAAAAATATACTATCATATAATATAATTATAATTAAATTAATTAATTAATTATAATCGGGCCGGGCCGGGCTTTTAAAGGGCTTAGAAATGAAGCCCAAGCCCTACATTTAAGCCTTCGGGCCGGGCTAAGCCCGTCCATTACTTCGGACCGGGTAAGCCCACACATCAAAAAATCGGGCCGGGTTCGGGCTAGCCCATCGGGCCTAGGCTTTATTTCCAGGCCTACCGATTGCAATATGAAGTTAAGAAATTATATAAGATATAATTGCATGCAAAATCTAAAAAGCGAACCCAACTACAAAAATGTATTTTATGTATTTAGCACTCATATATTTTTGAAAATATTGAGAGTATTAAGAATCTGTTAAGCATTTGGGAGAGTTTTTATTTATTTATTAAAATACGATAGAATTTTATTAGATCTATAAAAATCAAGAGTACAAAGGGCACAAACCGTAAATGGAGTCGAGATGCAGTGGAAATCAAGAGTACAAATGACACAAACCATAAATGGAACCAAGATGCGGTGGAAAGCAATGATTAAAAAGGCCCTACTCCTCGGTTTAGTGGAGAACTTGCACATTGCTTCTGTAATTAAATCTCTTTAATATTCAGTCAATTTTTACATAAAATAAAAATAAAGCACCATCTTCCCTTTTTTTTTTAAAAAAAAAAGTATAATTGATAGTCTAAATTATAGGGGAAGAGAATTTCTAACACACACACACAATTATGATGTCATGAAAGTTCGAACCTAAGCCCTTTTAGCACACCATTTTGCCTTTAAGTAAAACTTAGCAAGAACATTCAACATAATTTTGTGATTAATCCATGCATTGTGTGGTCAAAGCAGCCGCGTACAGTTTGATTAAACTTGACATTCATATACCAACAACCTCCTATTTTGGTTATATTACTAAAGCTCCCTTTTAAAAAAGTCATCATGCATATGCAGACAATAATTCCACACAAGGACCCATCCATTCCATTATTTTTCTATAAAGGACTCAGAAGTTAACAAAATGTATCCAATCCAAGGTGAAAATGTCTACCGGCCACCTATTTCTGAAGCCTCCAATTGGTGACCAGAAAAGAGTCTCTGAGGATTCTAAAGCGAGCATCGACCAACAAAACAACAACTCCAGGTCCCCATCAATGAGTTCCAAAAATAATGCCACTCTCCTCCAGCCCAAGAAGGAGAGAGGAAAGAAAAAAAAGAATGGCAGAGGCGGCAATGAGTTCAGAATTTCTGGGTAGGAATTTTTGGGTTTGGCAACAGCCATTTTTAGGACGTTTCTTGTTAATTGTTAAACCGACAACCTGGGAGAGCTCCGTTAAATGTCTCTATTACCAAATATGCAGACATAACTGCAGAAAAAAGGGCAGTAAGTATGCCACTCAAAATTTTGAGAAGCTTATCGAGCATCATTACCTAAATCAATTGACTTCCATTTTTAGGACGTTTCTTTTATATTGATTCAGACATCCTTTCTTCAACTGTGTAAAGGAAAGCTTTTCAAATACCGTTTGCTACCGGTTCTTCCTTTTCCACATTTTTTAGACATTCTTGAGATACAGTAAACGTGGAAGTTGTTTAAAACTAATAAAAAGTATCATCAACGTAGACAAGTTTACTGAAAAAATCGAAACAAAACGTTAACCATCAGACATTAAAATTGCATAACACCAGGAAATCAGGAATCATGGAATCATAAGCGTTTCAAGTTGTATAACACAAAACATACAATAGTGCAGAGAACAATACATAAAGTAGAAAATTAATTAATCTGCAACACAAAATACATCCTCTTCTTATAAGAAAACTAAGGCATCCAAATCCTCGATTTGGCTTCCTAAGGAAGACACTGGTTAGAGCAGAGTCAAACAAAAGAAGCCACCAAAAGACGGAGTGCCTGCAGTAAGAAACAAGATTGATCAACACATATGAAAGAGATTATATAACTGTCACAAATAGATCAACCACTTTCAACACATGCTAGCTACTTGGGCTTTAACCATGTTGAATAACAACCGTGGTCAAGCAGCAACATTTTATTGAAAATTCATCATAAACCAACTGCCTAAAATTTCAAACAAAATAGAAACTCACAGCTAAGGATTTAACTAGAGTAGTTTAAGATAAATTACGAATGATAAACATAAACGATATATATAACTCACCTCCTTCTTGCCCACTTGAGCAACTTGTACCTCAATGTCAGTGACAGGTACGTTCAATTCGAATAAAATTGACAGGCCAAGAATTGCAGAGATCGGACTTACGTTGAGACTGTCGGTTATCACGAACATCGCCTGTCCGTTCAAAAATCCAAGAGCGTTATCATCTTTGTTACGGTGGGATTTGGGGTCTATGAATTCAACTGATTTCACTTGTTTATTAGAGTGGATAATGCTGGTATCAACAGCCAGCCGATACGAGGCTTCCTCTATTCCCAAAGGATGGTTCTTTCTTATAGCCAAATCCAGGGAGAAGCTTGGGACTCACTAGCATTTTCTTATGGTTATTTGACTTCAAGCATTCCTCATCAAGATCCTGGACACTTTTGTACAACTGACCAATGCATCTTTTCATAGAGTTATCCTGCACTGCATCTGTTTCACAATAAACTCGAGTGGAAGAGTCAAGAAACTGAAGAGTAAATTAACAAACTCCTCCCCTGCTTCTGCATAATAAACCGTCTTCCCAGATTTGCTAACTATGAGCTTAATAGAAATCTTTTCTTCTTCCTCATTCGAGATTCAACATATATTTCTTGATCAAAACCTGAAGAAAGTGAAAAGATCATCAGAAACTAGCATTTCATTTCTTACTAGAAAATTAACTTTGGTGGTATAACAGATCATTTACCTCATCAACTCGTACATTGACTGTCTACTCCTCAATGCTATTCCATCCCGTGAATCCGAGGTTCTTAACTAAAGAAAAGCTTGTAGAAGTAAATGGGGGCATCACTTGTAAATCATCACTAATTATAAATCTGGCTGGACCTTTTACAAAGACCTCACCATCTTCAGCACCAGACACTGGAAGGGTGGCCTCCGTGTCCATTAGACGCTTACAACGATTACAACGAGCCGTTTGGTAATAACTAAAAACAAGACTGCTCCGAAAATTTCTGCAATGTGGATTAGAACGCGTAAAGTACCGCGTGGGTTCGCAATCATCAAATTTCAGTTTGAGGTTGTCCAAGAGATATTCTGTCCTATTGCGGGGACGTAACAGCATGGCTCTACATTCTTCAGTTCGGAAAAGCTGTGAGTCAAAACTCTCCACACTTCCATATATGTTGTCCATGCAACCAATTCCCAAGGGAGTTAGGCGGTGCCTGGGCGCCCGCCTAGGCGGCCTAGGCGGGTCTACGCGGGTTTAGGAGGACAAAGGGCGGTTGAGGCGCGCAGGGAGTTAGGCGGCGCCGTCATTTCACCCTAATCATTAGGGGTAGGCGCCAGGGAGTTATGCGGAGCCTGGGCGCCCACCTAGGCGGCCTAGGCGGGTCTAGGCGGGTCTGGGTGGGCGTTTTGCCGTTGAGGAGCGGACGAAGGTCGGTTGAAGCGCGCATGAGCCGCTGCTTGTTGGGAAGAAAGATGGAGAGACAGAGAGATGAAATCGAAACACAGAGAGGAAGGAGAAGGCGACGCTTGTGAAGAAGAGATATATGACCTAATTTTTAATATAACTGACGGGTTGGGTTTTGTAAAATTACCTTAAACATTGTATTAAAATGGGCCTATTTTTATTTTATTTTTTGCAGTTTTTTTTAAATATCAAGGTTACTGAAAATACAAAAATAAAAGTTAGATAATATCAAGGTTGGAAAATATTAAAGTTTTCTTTTATATATCTTATTATTTTGCATGATTTTGGTACAAATTTATAATTTATAATACAAAATATATATATTTTTTTTTAAAAGGGTGTCGAGGCCCCAATTACTCCTCTAGGCTCTAGACCACGCCTGCCGCCCACCTACAACCTACACATTTTTCGAACATATATTAGAAAAAGACAAGCATATATATGAAAATGGTCCTTTTCCAAATAAAGCCCACACCTTTAAGACACCTGAATGCAACATTGAATGCCTAATCGTGACTCCTAGTTGGGATGAGTTGTGAGAAAGATGGAACTTTAAGAAAGAAAAAAAAAGAATATGATGTCTAGAAATAGTAATGGCACAAAGAGTAAACCATTAAATCCCATATCAATATTTTTGCATATAATTAGTCCAAACAGCTCAGCATCATAAGTACATTTAGAAAAAAAGAAATACACATGAAATTCGAAGTTCAAACCTTTTCGGGTAAAACTGCCGAACTAAATAATGAAGCTAATGAAAACACAAAGACTTAATCGAAAGGCTTGCAGAAAGTAATATAAGTAGGAAAGGATCATGAGTCTGGAGAGATATTACAGGGAGGATCACTTGAGTGGGGGTGCATGTTATGACCCTCCATTCGTTGCTTTTGAAAAGGGAAGCATTCATTACTTGACTAGGAAGAAATCTCCAGCTTCACCACAACCTGCAGATTCCAATCTCTGAAATTAAGCATAGCATTCTGACTTCAACTTCCAGCTAAAGAGGTGTTAATGGAATCTCCAAAGGAGGCATCAAAGGCAAGAGCTTGTGATGTCTTCATGAACACCTCATTAATTTGAAATTATCTGCTTGCATGGTCCTATGGTTGAATCATACACTTATCATTGACTGAGCATCTGATCAATGCAAAGGGAAGTCTTTGGCTTCCATTGTTTAAAGGATTTTGGTCTAGCAGGCAGCAGCAGAAGCCACTGTGCATGGTATTCGGATTTGGAATTGGTACATGATCAAGCTTCAGTAGAGTTTCAGACAGAGGTTTCTTTGATACTAATGAGCGCAGAAGAAAGTTCAAAACATGGAAAAACAGACCATGAGGTCAAAACCACAAACACTACAGTTGCATTAAAAGAAAAATAAAACAATTGGCAAACAGCATTCAACCTCATGAACTCCTATATTCATGGCTCCAAGCTTTGTAAATACAGGATTGCTTCCCACCGATAACAGGGACATGTAAATCATCAGTAATTATGAAACTAGTTGATTCTTTTACAAAGATGCCCCCACCTTGCTCAGCACAGGATGAAACCGAAAGTGAGCACTTCAGATTCAAGCATCTTCCACATTGACACAGAACACCTTTGTAATGACTTCTTGACTTATTTTCGAAGTGGCATTGCCAACTATCACACAGAAAGTACCTTGTCTGCTCATCATTGTCAATTTTCAGTTTGATGTTTTCACAACGAGATTAATTCAACCCCATTGTGGGGACATAGCAACATCTCTTTACATGCTTCAGTTTGGAAAAGTCCCCAAACACTGGCAGACAAATTATTCATGCAACGTGATACTGAATGTTTAGTGTCATGCCTGACAATTGTTATCATTGGTATTGTCAAGAAACTCAAGAGAACATCAATAAAATCTTTATCAGACTCTACGAAGATAATTTTGTTGCTCCCCTTGTCCACCACGGCCTGCAAGCTTATAATATTCTTCACAGTTTTATCAGCCATTTATAATGTAAGAAAGTACAAAGCGGTAAGTTGTTTTTCTGCTTAAACATGAAAGGACTTCAAAATATAATTCAAGTATGGCAAAAGAGAGACAAAATTTTGCAGAATTAATAGCTTGGAAAACAGGTCAGAGATTCAGCAGATAACAAGTATATAATTGAAATCTAAAACCAGCGACCAACATTTTTATCAACATGGCTAGTCTGATCCTAAGTTACGTAGTCCATGAGGAGATTTTGAATGAATAAAGTTTTGGGAAAGCTTCATGAAATTCACCAGTCTTTCTCAGTAAATTTGCAGGTCTGCTTTTCCATTTCTGTTTTATATTAATCTATCTTCTAATTAAAGTGAAATTAATATAACTAGTGGGAAAATAAAATTAGGCATTGATCGACAGGTTCTCCTGTGCAGGAAAGGAAAAGAGCTCTTTCAGTATGCAAGAAATTAATGGAAAATTATAATGGAAAATGCCAAACAGCTCGACATCATAAGTACATTTAGAAAAGAAAAAAAAAGACATGGAATTCAAAGTTCAAACCTTTTAGGGGAAAACTGCTGAAGAAAAGGATGAAGCTAAAGAAAACACAAAGACTTAAAGAAAGGGCTGCATAAAGTAATATATGTAGAAAAAGATCATGAGTTTGGAATGATGTCAAAGGGAGGATCACTTGAGATGAGGTGCTTGTTATGACCCTCCATCCATCCTTAACTTTTGAAAAGGGAAGCATTCATTACTTGACTAGGAAGAAACATCCCGCTTCATCGTCACCTGAAGATTCCAATCTCTTTAACTAAGAATAGCATTCATAAATAAGAATAATACAATTCTGAGAAGAGAAAAAAGCAAATAGCCTACATAAGAGGCATCAGGTCAATGATGAAGCACAATTCCATTAAAATATCATAATTCTGCCATAGACAATAAAATTTCTAAAAATCCAGACATTTTTAGACCAAAGATATGTTAACTTTTAAGACTTACCTTAGGATAATTGCACCAAAAAGTTATAAATAAAAAAATAAAAAAAATCCCCAATAAAAAGCAAAAACTACAATGCAGTTATTATTTTATAACAAAACTTTTAAGGAAACATTAAGACACTACCATAACCACTGCAAAATAAAATTTAATAAATTGGTAGAAATAACACAAAAATCTGGTGATGCCAATACCATTCATTCATCCAAATCCTCTTTCAATCCTTGTTCTTGTTTGTTTGGTTTCTTCCACAATGAAATTGATTGGGTGCCAAACTAAGCAAAATGTATCCAAGTAAGGAAATTAAAACAAAATATATAGAACATATGACATAGTGTTGCTTCATTTACACTCCACCAAACCCAAATCAGTTTTTGTTTCTTTCTTATTATCAAGCTCTTTCACAAAACCTCCATGTCGATCTAATAACAAATTTACAGGCTACAAAATTATAAGTGTAGCTGATCATCCAAATATAATGAAACCATAGTCAGCCCAGATAACAAAACAATTGTTAATCACTAACAAAAAAGCACCTCCAAACTCAAATCTTATATCACAAAAGGCAAAATGAGAACAAAATCTACATCAAATACTTCAAAATCAACTTCTCAAACCAAAACATAACTAAAAAATTGAAATAAGAATCTAATCTAGAAAACACATACCTCACCAGATGAAAAACAGGGCTTTGTGTGAGAAGAAGGAAGATGAGAGAGAGGGTGTCATCGTCGATGGAGCAAATAAGGAAGAGGAGAGAGAG